TGCATCATCTAAGCTCTAGAAAAATACGAATTTCAAATCTGCATTATAATGGCAAATTGTCGTTTTGCCCTTTTTCAGAAAAAATTCAATTTTACCCGGGTTTTACACAAAGTCAATCTATAAGTATTCGAGTCTTATACATCAACTAAACCATGATTAGACATTTTTTTTCTTCAATAGATCTCTTTATCCGATACACCCACCGATGTTATGGATAGCTTTACTTGAACTTCTCACCACACGGTTGGTTTAGACCTCGAGCAATCCTAGGACTCACCCAAGACTATGGCATCCACACTCTCCAATGGGTTTGGTTGATCTCCCAATCTAGATCTTCTTCTCAAAATGTGTGAGGTTGGATTATAGTATCAAGGTGAGTTTAGCCTTTGGATCTTAAAGATCTAGAGTTCTTCAAGGATCACTTAAGGTTAGAAAGGCAGATTTTAGACTCACAAAATAGATAACCTAGATTGGGAAGGATCCCTCTATTTGTAGGCTCAAAATAGGGTTAGTCTTGGAGACTAAGTAAACAAAAATTCATGAGTGACCACTCGAGCAGTGAGAGGGCAGTGGATGCTAGAATAAGATAAGAAATCAAACCACAATAGTTGAGAAAGGACCGCTCGAGTGACCTCAGGACCGCTTGAGCGGTCTGAGAGTGAGCTGGAGGGCAGTCTCCACTGCCCACTCATCCTAATTTTCTCAACTTTTTCCCTAAGTTTTCAAAGATAGCTCTAGATGAAGGCAAGTGAGTAGAGGGCAGTCTCTACTGGTTCTCAAACTAGAAATCAATCAAAATTTGTCCCCTTAAACACTAGGGGGTGTTGCTAAAGTGATTCTGATTAATGACTCAAATCTATGTTTTCAAAACTGCATAAGGGTTTAGAAAAAAATTTCTTTAAAGAACACCGATGAGTCATTAACAAATCAATCAACAATTTCATTCCAACCTAACCACCCTAAGTCTAAAATTAAACCAAGTGTGCTAAGTCTCTAAGGTCATTATTACCTTTGTCCTAAGCATGAAAGTGCATTTGGAGAGTCTTCGATGTGTCGTTGTAGCTTGAACTCCTCCCTTTAATTGTTGCATTCAGATCTTAATTATTGCTTTTGGATCTTGATCATTGTGACGTTATAACCATGAAATAGGTTGAGATTTACAAAAAGATTTCATGAAATTAGTTGATTACAAATATGGTTCTAACATACTCAAAGTCTATGCATGGAGGATACGACTTTCTAAAACATAGTCTCTGGCCTTCGAAGGCCGGAACCATATAGATGTTGAATCATTTTCATTATCTGGTTTCTATTACAGCAATGTCATTATGAATTTACATGTTCCCAAATGATTCCAAAGGTTGGCCCCCAAGTTTAGGGTTCATTTCCTCTATTGGACCCATAGAAGGCATGGGATGCCTCTCACGACCTCTCCTAGGATGATCTTGAACCAATCTTGGCCCATTTCCACCCCTGGGATTTCTGGGATGATAAAAATTAGAAAAAATCTCAACAGATTCCCCTTCGAATATCATATTGAAATGATTCTAGTGTTTAAAACTAAACCCCATATTGGGTGCCATTATTGGTGGCCACTAGTTTTCTACAAGAAATACCATTCGACTTCTAATAACATTAGAGGACCTTTGATTAACATGTCTTGACATATTTATCTAGCCACTTATCGATTCATGCATGTTGTGCTTTAAATCTAACCTAATGCTTGAATAAGGATTATGCAATACCTATCTCAAATTTTGCACAAAGTCTTGTATGAATGCACTATTATGGCGACTAGTTTGGTCATTTCCTTCCATTATAGGTTCTATTGGTTGCAACTTGACCTCCCTTCAACATGGTTAGTATTGCTAGCTATGGCTTCCATTTTTTCATTGCATTATGTTACAATCATCACTTTATCTTGCTTCCTTGTTCACACCGGGCCTACAAAAAAATGTTGGTTTACACAAAATATTTCTTATGTGATTGAAAAACTTAATCCTTTCACAGGGTGATCTCAGATGACCGTTAGATATTGAGTTCAATTGCCTTATTTCAGGACTTTCATGGGTGATTTCAATTGGCGGATTCAAAGTAAGTAAATTGATAATCAAAAGATTAACAAAAAGAGAGACACTTTTATTAATCTGAAAAGGTTTATGAGTTACAACGCACTAATGAAACAGCCTTTGAAAATAATTGTATCATAAAACTAATCTAAAACTACTCCTAGAAATGTCCAAGTCATGGGTCTTTGATAAGTTTGATTGTGTCCTGCAATTAATGTCTCTTTATCGGCATTTCTACATCGACGATTATACTGGTTCTTTATGCAGCTTTCTCCTTTGTTCTGATTGCTGCTTTCTTAGTTCTGAAAGCCTAATTCGCTTTGATAACTGCTACACAAAATATTTCTTATATGATTGACAGACTTAATCCTTTCACATGGTGATATCAGAGATTGTTGGATATTGAGTTCAATTGTCTTATTTCAAGACTTTCTTGGGTGATTTCAATCGACATATTCAAAGCAAGTAAAATTATAATCAAAAGATTAATAAAAAGAAAGACATTTTTATTAATTTAAAAAGGTTTATGAGTTACAACTTACTAATGAAAAAGCCTTTTGAAACTAATTATATCCTAAAACTAATCTAAAACTTTTCATAAAAATGTCCAAGTCGTGGGTCTTTGATAGGTTTGATTGTGTCCACCTACGATTAATGCCTCTTTTATAGGCATTTCTACATTGACGGTTATACTGGTTCTTTAAGCAGCTTTCTCCTTTGTTCTGATTGCTGCTTTTTTAGTTCCAAAAGCCTAATTCGCTTTGATAACTGCTGCATTTGTGAATTCCAGAGTAACTATTTTATTCTCTTTAGCACTGGGACTATAACTGTTCTTGAATTTGAAAAAGACCACGCCGATTGGCCTTCCCTATTCTTCTGTTAATTATATGAATGTCACGTGGCCCATCCCTTTGGTTGGTTCATTTACTGGATATATGTTACACATTGTCGATTCACTAAAATTGTAAAATTTGGTCCAAACACATATGTATGAATTAGTTATTGTACTCTTGCAATGTGTGATGCAGAGTTCCAACTGCTGACTGTGGGAGTACTCAACTTGGAAGTGCACTGAAGTAGAGAAGTTCCAATTGCGTTGATTGGGAGATCCTCTCTTTCACAAGCACGAGCACACGCACACGAAATTCTTTAGTTTGAATAATGACACAGGTATACGATAAGAAAAAGAAATTATAACAGAATAATGTGCTGTTTGACAATGCTTTCGTCAAAAAAATAAATGTATGCTTGATTATTATTCTATAAAAATGTTCAATATACATATATAATCCATTTAAGTATGTGCTCACGTGTACAACTATACCTGCAATTAAGGAAGGAGAAACAGAGCAAACAGCACAAAAGGAGGGGTGGGGGGGGGCTAACCCGTTTGAATTTTGGACTAAGGACCTACCTTCAAAACCAAACTAAGTACAAATAAACGGGATTCAATTAATATTGAGAACAAAAAAGCAGCATTTAATTTGATGAACTTCTCACAACAAAGAATCTAAAATGGTGCATTCTATTCAAGTATAAACTTGGAACGTCAACAAAAGAATTATTTGTATGATTTCAAATCAGCAGCCCTTCTTTTTTCTGCCCATGGATATCCACTACTGTAAGAGCATAGAAAGGAAATATAACGAATATTAGAGCACAACGACTAGTCTCCAAACATGTGCCTAAAAAGAGGGTCAAAGTTACTCAGTTCAACCAAGCTTCACAAACCAATTATGCATTATTGTCCAGCATGAATTTCGGATTTGGAGACATTTTGATGCATCATGAATATGCACCACCCATGTAAAAAATGACATGCTCAGAAAGCAGGAATGGTAAGAAGTTGGAAAATAATGTCTCAGATCTGCAGTACAATCATCTGGAGAACTATAATCAGAAAACCTAAGGTGGTAAACAAAGTACTGCAAGTTCTGCTCATATGCCAAAAACATTCAAACCATATACGAATGTGTGAATTCTAATTGTCATCTGTAAGTCTTTTATTTTAGAGCAGCATTACATGCTAGAAAAGGTTGTATAGGAATCTAATTGCTGCCGGTGAGGGAGCGCATTAATTAGCGTCATACATGTGAACCCAGAAGACCTGAAAGTTGAGAGCAAAAGATCAGATTATACTACCTTATGAAAAGCTGTAAACGGATTATTTAAGGATGAGTTACATGTATATCTCTTGGAATTTGCATTAATGTTTTAACCATCCCTCCAATTGGATGTTAACGAAACTCATGCGCTTGAATAGTTAATCATAATTCACAAATCTCTCTTGATGAATTATTCTCTCACAGCTAACGGCATTATAGTATCTCACAAAAATGCTTCCATGTATCTTTGCTCAAAATCTAAGAAGTAATGCTCAAACCATAAAAGTTGGTAGACAATTAGACCAAGTGCCTCTAAAACATACAGATAAAGCTTAGGTATTTTGTCTCTAAGTTCGAAATAGTTTATCAAGCAATGATATTTACAAAGCTAGGCATTTAAAAAACAAAACAAGCAACCGTATGGGATCAATCATTTATGTGGATATATGGGCAATTGTTTAATAGTGCACCCTACTAAAGATAAATGGTGAAATACTGCTGAAGGTGCATATTAAATAACAATTTTGAAGAACATAACAGAAAAAGAAAGGTGCTCATACCACTCGTCAGTAAACCCACTCTTAAATCCAACTGAATCAAACAACATTTGAAGTGATGCCGTAGCATGGATTTGGTGGGAGTGCAGAAAGAGGCAATTTAAGCAGACTATTTGGTTCATGGATATTGGTAAAAGAACTTCCCGTTTATTGGAAAATTCAAATTAACAAGTAGCCCTGTTTCTACATGTAGAACACATTTGTCTTCCTCGCTTGGGTAGAATGGTAGGCACCTATTTTTCAAGTGCTGGCCAGAACGGGTGTGGTGTTCACAAACGCAACAGCGGGACATCAGTCGCTTGCCAATTCTCCTCTCCTGTTTCACGCAGAATTTATCTTCCACTGTAAACAATATATCTAATCTAAACTTCATTATTACTAGTATAAAATCTGACTTATTGATATCATAAAGCCCCAAAGCTAAACTTCCTTGGTACAAGCGCATTCAATACTAGTAAGATTCCAAAATAATCCCATGGACCGATCATGTTGGCAATAGAACTCGATCAGTATGTATAAGAAAATATACAACAAGAAACTAAATCTAATCAGAAGTTTATCAGCCATCATTGAAGATTGTGGTCTGGTTTGATGCAAAAAAAAAAAAAAACTAGCATTCCAAAGAAAAGTACAATGGCACTAGAAATATAAAAAGAACTCGGATCAAAATTGTAAAAAAAAAAATTATTTACCTTGAAAGAATATTATGAGGCAGAAGAGAATGGTGATGGCCATTGCAAAAAGATTGCTATTGAATGAAGTCCCCTTCTGAGCTTTCATTTTCTTTAAGGCCTTCATCCGTTCAATCCTTCTGCGCTTAAGCATGGCAAGCTCAGATATTTCTTTGACCAACTTAATATCAGCTGCATCCAATGGTAGACCTCTGGGAGGCCGGGGTGGTTTGGGAGGCTTTTTAAAGATTGGATTCTTCTGTTTAACATTTCCTTTTTTCTTATCCACAGAATTTATCACCTGTTCCCCAATTTTGTCTGACAATATCTCCGTACTATGGATAGAAATCTCATCAGTATTCAACATCTTGTCATATGAAATTAGACCATCTACATTCCTTATAGATCCCTCTAATCCCATAAATCCATTACACACCCTACCCAACAATTTATTTGCATCTTCACCACTCAGATCACGGTCTTTACGTACTACATCTTCCTCACTTGTAGTCCCTCCACTTTCCAAATCGATATCAAGGTCACTTCCGCTTGAATCCACATGAGCCATCATATACTTAAATTTCTTTTCTTTCCCGCATCCAATCCTTTTACTAATAGTGAAGTTGCATTGCCAAAACAACTATTTCTTTCAGTTAACACATCACATGCCCAATTGCTTTTGTTGCCCACATGCCATCCTCTTACCAATATTGTTCAAAAGTCTTCTGCACCATACTAGCAAAACTAGCAGATCTTTTCAGCCAATTCATTTGATTAAGTGCCTCGCTTGTGGATTCCTGATAAACCAGTGCTCAATTACCTCAAAAACTCATCTTTTGAATAATTGGGGCTATAACATCATCCACAATACACTGAATCTACCTTCTTTTTTTTTTTGCACTTGTAAGCAATTACTCAAGCTAAAAGGACTTCCACAATGGCATAATGAACAAACTTATCCAAAACATTTTCTGTAATTTTCTTACTGCTATAACGATGCAATTTCTTCAAACTTCACACAGTATAACATGGAATCTTTGGGTGTTCAACAGAGTCCTGCTTTTAACCATAACATATATATTAATATTTCAATCAAAAAAAACCAAACTTTGTAATTGTTGTTATTGAAAAGATCAACCCCAGAAGGCAATACAAGAAAATATAGATAAAAGCTGTGAACAGAAATCACTAATGCAGCATTTAAGTCATAATTAATGGTCCATATGGTTGCTTCAGAAATTGGAAAAATAAGGTAAACAAAAAGGGGGAAACTAACGTTTAGATCCTTCACGAAGAACTTATTTTTAGCCCAATTCAAATCAATTCCACTTCATTGTTCCTTAATCTTCGAGGAAGAAAAACTGACGATAAAAAATGCAAAAAATAAAAGAGCAATATATAAATTGAAAGACGCAAAATTTCCCATCAAAAAACAAAAATGCAGTCAAAGCAAACAAGCCGAAAATGACCTAACTCAGGATATTGCTTGCAATGCAAAGATAATGGCAATGGAAGAGGCAATATACGCACATACGTTGGTTAGGAGGAGATGAAGGTTGATCGCCATGAAAGTCAAAGCCAGCTTCTACTAATTCAGAGAGATAAATTTACAGAATCTAGAGAGAGATGTGTCCTAAACCATGTTGCCTGATCTATGGGAAATGTGGTCGTTCTCAGGAGCTACATACGTCACGTTTTTTTAAATCAGAGATGGTGAAGTTGGGATTTTATGGCATATCTTTAAGGAAGAATGGATATTCCGAGGCCAAGGTTAAAACAGAGGGCTGCTTCAACCCCACCACCAAGGGGCTCTTTGGTAAAAGGGTAGGAGGAGCTTGTCAATATAAGATTGAGAAAAATAGTTCAAAATTTCTCTAATCTTAAGTTTGTATGAAAAATTCAGTTCTGAATTTTTAGATCCGATCCAAGTTGGTCCGAAAATTATATTTATGATCATAAATTTTGTCAAGCCTAGGCAGAGAATAGGTTTGGAAATATGTGTAAGGGGTTAAGGAACAAAATATAATTGTATCTAATAATATGAGTATAAATTGAATTGATCAAGGGTAAAATAGTTATTTATAGGACAAATAATTGTTAATAATTATGATATATTTGTAGGTCCTATATGTATATGTGTTGTATACCAAATATAGGTATAGGCCGCATTTGTAAAAAAAAAAATTAGTTTAAAAGAATTTAGAAAAGTCAATCCAAACTCCTCCCTAAAATTTACCTAAACAAGCACCAATTGACTAGAACTTTTACGTATTCCTAAACCTGGTGAGATTCACCTGTGCATGTCACCCTAGTTAAAACCCAATCGTGAATTTTTTTTAGACTAATTTGAATAATGCTTTATATTGATCATTAGTTGCTCTTAAAACTTAAAATAGGGAGAATTATATCGACACCCTTTAAAATTTGTTACTTAATCACTTAGAATCTGATATTTAAATATTATACACAAACTCCCTAAAGTTTATATGCGCGTAATACTTAAATCTCTATCGTCCATGTATGTTAGAATATTCGTTAGTAAATTATATTCAATCACACTAAAATTTTTATGTATGCAATACTTAGTCAAATTTAAATTTAAAATGTTATACTTAGACAAAACAAAATTCAATCAAAGATAGAATATTAAATATTTTAAATTTTATAACTAAAATTCATGTTTTATTATGTCATTTATAGAAATAAAATTAAAACTAAAAATCTTATTTTTTCTTTAAAAAATCATAATTAGAATACAATTATACAATACCCTTGGTCTCATATAAATTATGTACAAAACTTGTACTTTGATAAAGACATATAATTGGACTCTCTTGGACAATATCCTTTTGTAAATAAATAAATGAAATGGATGTCGTATGAGTTGTACGATTAAAAGTTAAAATTTGGGAAATTTTGAGAAATCTAGACCCTAGGTATTGGTATCTCACAAATACCTAGCTTCTAATGGGTTCAGGTACCGGTACCTATGCTCACAAGTACCGGTACCCAACTGACAGTGGACTTAGGTACTGGTACCAAGTATTACAGATACCGGTATTTAGCTTCGAGAGGATTCAGATACTAGTACTTCTTATTAGAGGTACTGGTACCTCTTCCCAAAATTTGGTTTCTAAACTTCAACGCTTTCGAGCCTTCATATCTTGAGCTCTTTTCTTTGGATGAGATAAATGGTTAAATTTTAAGTCTTAAACTTTGGGATGTAGACCTTGGAATGGTTGTATGATTAATGTATGCACAGGTTATGTATTAGTAATGCTCCCGTGCAAAGCATACCCTAGCTGAATTCTGTTTTGTTATGATCACGATGACTGGGGTGTAACGATGTGGTATCGTGTTATATGGTATCCATGACTATTCTATGAGTTGTTAGGTGATCAACAAGTTGAGAAAGAACTCCCGAATTTTGGAGCATCACAATCACCGTTCCACAATGTTAGAATTGGCACGTTTCAATTTAGTTGATGCATTATTCTTTAGTAGTGAATTTTTGGAATGTTTTTAGTGATACTTTATTATTCCCCTATATTTTTCGTAATTTTGTTAGAAAGGCGATTAAGTTCTAAAATGAATTGTAGATGGAAACTATTTAAGAATATATTATCTTTGTTAGGAAATTGTTTGTAGTTGGCTAATTTCTTAAAATCTTATTGTAAATATCAACTTAAGTCTATGGTTATGATGCTTCAAAGATCAAATTTCAAAAGCTTTAAAGAATGATGGATTTCAAGCTTAAAAGTCGCATCAAGAACACTTTCATTGGGCTTTTAAAGCTTAGGATAGGGTAATAACCTAGATACCTAAAATTCATGGTTTATTTTAGAATTTGGTTCATTAGTTTAATAGAATTATATTTAGGATTATCCGTGAATGACTGTTACGGTTTTTTATAAAAAAAAAAAAAAAGATTTTCTAAACATCAAAATGTGTTTTAAAAATATAAGTTGAGTCATGTATCTGATCCTATTTAAGCAACACTCTTTAATGCTCAATATGTGAAGTTTTGCTTGGTTTCTAGCTTAAAAATTAATAGGGGCTTTTCTTTGCCCACTCATCTTCGGCTACAAAAATTTCAAAACACTTAGGGAAAAATCAGATGAGGCAATTCAGTCGGCAATGGAGACAACTCTTTAGGCCGCTTGATTAGTGCTTAAAATTAGCATTTTACTATGCCTTTTTGGAACTAATTGTACTTTAATGAAGTTTAAGTAATGACATTTCAGGTCCTAAAGTGAACAAAGGCTCATGAACAACAAATATCACACTTGAGTGTAACACCAGTGCCTTAGGGAACAAAATTGGAGAAGGTTGGAACAAAATAAGAACGTTCGAATGCCAACTCACGTTCGAACGTCCACTTGAACTATGAGAAGACTAGACTGCTGAGACATGACATGTTGCAGTCAAGAAGGAAGACCCTGAAGTACTTGAGCACCACGTTCAAATGCCAACTCACGTTCAAACGTCCACTTGATTTGATTGAAGATTAGAGTGATGAGTGCAAAGAGCCAAGATGTGCATGGAGTGTGGAAATGGGTTTCCACAGAAGACCACAGGCCACTCGAGTGAGGAGGTCAGACCTCATCGGGCATTCAAACGCCCACAAATCAAAAACAGCAGAAATGTTCGGATGCCAGACAATGTTCGAACGCCTGTAAAGGAAAAATAGAGACAACATTCGAACGCCAAATCACGTTCGAACGTCCACCACTGGCAGGCTGTAGAGTAGTTGGTTTTTCACTTGGACTTGGGTGGCATACACTATTCCTTCACAATCCCTTGTCTCCCCCTCCTCCTTGCCTATAAATACTCCCCTTGGCAGAGCCTTTGAAGAGGAGGATGTTCTTGTAAAAGACTAGAACTTGGTTTGTAAGGCTTAGACTACTCCAAGAACTAGTCAATAACTAGATGGAGGCTTGGACTCTCACTTATGTAGTTAGATGTATGTTATATATGCTTGTATCAAGGGAGTTAGTTCATATGTTGGTTGAGGAAGCAACCCTCCATTTCATAGTTGAGGAAGCCACCCTCCAAATGTGACTAGATTTCTTTTACTTCTATTGTTCATGTCTTTCACTTTCATTGCTTGAACTTCCTTCTTCCTTCTTCCTTAGAGGAGTGAAACTCTTTCACTTTTCTAGAGTTTTACCAAAGCCATGAAGGGTGGAACGTGATTCACTTATTCTTTGATGAAGATCGGCTCTTCGCTTATTGTATTTTACCTTGTAAGTTCTCTACTTAGAAGGATGAGTATCACTCATTTTTCTAGCTTTACCCAAGCTATGAAGAGTGAGTAGCTCCTCATTCACTCTTTAGTAAGAGGTGATGAACATATATTTGATTATTTGAAATTTATATTTGTGTATTTCTTTTATGCTTTAATGCTTTATATTCCACTTGCTTATTGAATAATTGATTGTATCTAGCAAAGCTAATGTACTTTGTATAACCAAGGGTTCTTTCTATGTCACGGATGACCCGTTGGTTCAAGACAACTGCCCTAACTAGATCTTCATGACAACATTTCAATCTTCACCATTATTGTGCTTT